ATATATATATAATTGAATAGTTTTAAATACATCTAATACATAAATGGACTACATTGCTCAATGAAATGTAAGTTCTAACTAGTTAAAGCAATACTATAAAACATAAGCCCAAACTAGTTAAAGTAATGGTCAATAAAAAATGTGGCCCATTGCTCCCTAATGATGTTTATGTCTTCTAGTGGCAATGGTGATCGATCTATAAATATCTGTTAAGAAAAATTAAAACAATTAGTAATAATTCATAAAATATATAGAATGAGAACTTAAAACAAAAACTTTCAAAATTGTAAAACTTACTTCAGTCCACCCAGATACTATTTGTGAATCGACAATAGTATGCATTGTCTTCATTACATAGTATCCGCACTCATAATTTCCTTTTTGTTTATGAGACTACAAAAAGAATATAAAATCAATTTCAATAGAATAGTATTTAAAAAAAATTACTTAAAAAAAATATCATTGCTAGAATTAAAATCTTACTTTAAAAAAATATATCATTGCTAGAATTAAAATCTTACTTTAGGAGAGACCCAACTCATTTTTCTCTTCAACTTTGAACCCTTAAGTATATGATATCCTTCCATGGCCCTAATACCAAAATGACATTATGATTATTGTAAAGTCAAATTTAATGATAATCAATAAAAGAAATTAGAAATTTTTTAAAAAATTTACCTATCTAATAATTGTTTAAAATCCATAGGAGGAGGTTTATGCAACGAGCAAATGCATACAGCTATGTTGTCCATAGGACAAATAACTAAAAGTTGTCAATGAGCACTGTATTAAGAAATTATGAGTAATAGAAAATAGTTTTTATAAAAAAATATATTTAATTATATAAAAGTAAACTTACTCAGAAAAATAAGGGGCCAAGTAAAACTTTTTATTTGAGTCGGACATCCAATTTTGAATGTAAACTTGTATTTCTTCGACCTTGTTCCCACTTTTTTGGATTGACTCAGGTTCCAAAAATTCATATATGTGATCATTTCCCTTATCTACGCTCAATTTATGGATAAATCTACAACGTTAGAAACAATGTTAGAAAAAATCAATAAAATATAATTAAAAATAATTTAAATACTTACAACAAGTCAACAACCATAATTGCAAAATTGATATGTTTAGCATACAATAACCATTTATAATCTCTGATATATCACTCTGACTTATATATAGAGGTACTTTTCTAGACATGTTAAACACTTCAATGAAAAACAAAATTAAATGATGACATTCACGTTGCATACATGCACCTAAATACAATATGAATGAAAGATTAGAGATTCATAATATAACATGTAATAAGCAGTAACAATTTTTGGGTGAAAAAAATCCAAGCTAACCAGTAAATTTATCTCACTCCAATAATACCTTTATGCATGCACATAGATAAACAATAATAAAAGACTCATTGTTTGGACTGAATGGTTATTGCTATCTTATTTTTTGAGCCCCCACTTCCACTTATCACCATCATCAGATAATGAAATTTGTTTGCCTTTCCACTTATCACTAATAGATGCAGTTTTCTTGACTTTACACTTATCACCAACAGATGCTGCAATTTGTTTGCCTTTCCGCTTATCACCAACAGATGATGATGTAGTTCTTTTGTCTTTAGGCTTATCACCAATAGATAAAGTAATTTGTTTGCCTTCCTTCTTGGACAATGCCTACAAACCATAAATTATAGTTAAATTATGAATTAAAACATCAGTCATGCATTTCTAATCATATGTATAATAAGAAAGAACTTAAATTCAACAACACGTCAATCAAAGGGAAATACAAGATAAATGGTCGGTATATAATCTTTGGAATTACTTATTTTGTGGGTTAAACAAATTATATATAACTCAAAGAACCAAATAAACAAAACCCTTTATAATGGCTTGGAAATGTTTGCAAATTGTCAAAATGAATTCTCATTATTCCTACTTTCAAGCCAAACACATCTAAGTAGCAACAATTGGTCAATATTATCACAAGTTTGAAGATGGAAACCAAGTAAATAACATATGCTTCTATATAAACAACACCAATTCCAAGTTCTTAAAATGAAAAGCATGAAAATGAAAAATGCGTATTATTTACCGATTTGACCTCTTCTATTGATTGGAGCATCTTTTTACTTTTCTCTTGATAACATTTTGCACAACAAGTAGAAAAATCTTTTTTATACTTCATCATCTCTCTAAAACCAGAACTGCACAGAAAATAAAGCAACATTTACCATTAGTTTGATGAGAATCAATAAAATTTACAGTAAGAAATATAAATTCAAATTAATTAAACAAGTGAGGAAAATATAAGAAAAAATAACATTTATTGTTAATATTACAGTTATGTATATAATCTCAATACGAGACAATTGCTCTTATTCCCCCTAATATATAATTAAGGAAAATTACTTAACAAATGAAGCATAAGGTAGAAAAGGTAAAGGAGAATTTGGGTTAGGGAGAAAAATATACAATTTAACCTTATTATTTTATGTTTATCCCTTTAAATAGTAATTCTTCACCTAAAACACATGTAGTGAGAATTGAACCAAATCATACTTATTATCTTTCTTTGAAGCTTGTTTTAAATGAGAAAATGTTAACTATCCTCTAAAATTTTAATTACACTAAACTAGCACCTTCTTTGTCCTCTTATATCTTGGATTCATAGGACCTATATATATATGCAGAGATAGAATATAATGAAAAGGTATATTAAACAAATAAAAGTAGTGATGAATTAATGCAAACAAAAATGAAAGTACCTTCTACACAAATAATATCGACTTCTTCTTCCATATGTTTGTATCTTTCGATTGTTTTTTAGGCTTACCAAATACCACATTTAAATTTTTCACTCGTTCATAAACTTCCTCACCAGTTAATGCAATAGGAGCAATGTCATATTCTTGATATCCATTAAAAGCTTTCTTTAACCTTTGATATTTATGGTTAGGTTTAAGAAACCTTCGATGGCCAAGGTAAATTGTCTTCTTCCAATTATGTAATTGATGATAACAAGTTCCCTCTTCACAAATAGGGCAAGCTTTATGCCCCTTAACACTATACCCGCATAAGTTTTCATATGCTGGGAATGTCATTGATTGTGCATAACAACATGGCATTCAACTTAAATGATTCACTTGAATACCCATCAAACACATCAATTCCCTCCTCCCACAACATCTTTAAGTCTTCGACCAACGAACTTAAATAAACATCAATGTCATTTCCTGGTTGCCTTGGACCAGAAATCATCATAGATAACATCACATATTTGCGTTTCATGCATAACCATGGAGTTAAGTTATAAATTATCAACAAAACAGGCCATGAACTATGCTTTGTGCTTAAATTACCAAACAAATTCATTCCATCTGTAGCTAGTCCAAGCCTAACATTTCTTGGCTCCTTACCAAATTTTGGAAACATAGAATTAATTTTTTTCCATTGCAAGCAATCTGCTGGATGCCTAAGTTGTCCATCACATTTCCTCTCATCTTCATGCCATCTCATCAACTTTGCATCATCTGCATTAGCAAACAAACGCTTCAATCTTGGAACAATTGACAAATACCATAAAACCTTCGCCGGAGGACCCTTAGTGCTAATATCATAATCAAAATCACCTTGCTTCTTTTTATATCATGATAACCCACACCTTGGACATTGATGCAAGCCTTCAAACTCACCATGATATAGCATACAATCATTTGGGCATGCATGTATCTTCTTATACTCTAAACCCATGGGACACAATACCTTTTTTGTCTTGTAGTTACGACTAGGCAATGTGTTATCTTGTGGAAGCATTTCTTTCAGCAACTCTAATCCGTGCAATCTCTTATTCCCTGATTCTCTTCATATTAAAATGTAAATGTTAAATATTCGAGCTTCGTTTTATTTCTTTGTAGGTGAAATACTGTTTGAAAGACAACAAACACTTTATCCATTTATCTATTTTTCTAAACAGCTACTAATTTCACAAAGAGGAGGATGAAGGACGCGATGAGGGGAGGAGTCATAGAGGGAGAGGGAGGGAAAAAATCTAATACAAGTGGTGTATGTTGTTATCTAAATACTAGATAGATCTAACGGTTGGATTACATACATAAATGGTTCACCGTAGACACCGTCCTATAACGTAACGTTCCAGTAAGAAGTATCAGCACAACCACTGATATATAATAGTTATTAACTGCATTTCGTGTAAAGTCAGGTGATTTCCCTATCATTCTATCTAAACATCGTCGTTAGAGGCAAAGCTGGCCGAAGACTTTCAAGTTTGAGGTCTTGTGCATTCACGAGAAGAGAAGCCAATTTTCAGTAGTTACAACTTACAAGACCAACTTCGGTAGGCGGTACTTGGTACCAATCGGCCATATGCTTTACATTATACACTGACATGCATACCTAAATTTAGATTTATATATTAAATAAAATATTTGCTGCAAGATCAACCGCAAATGTAAAGTTTACGAATATTGGAAGCCACTAGAGAGAAAATAATCATTTTTTTAATAGTAAGCTCTAAATAGATTTGTACTATTCCATTCCAAAGCAAACACGTCCAGATTCCATCACATTCACATCATAAGAGAATTAGAAGTTTAAATGTAACTATTGAACTTAATGACATTGCGCCATTCCGCGAACAATGACTAGTTATTCGTCGCTTCCTATAACAGCCTTAAGAGTATACTTAATCCACACAATTACAAGATTTTAAAATTATGTATTTTAATAAGCACGCTTTCCACTCTAAGTCACATACAGAGAGACACAACACAAGTATGGCTAAGGTAAGGAAAATGCAAGAACAATGATTAGCAGTGGTGCTCAGAAAAATTATCCACTATTGATAAACTCCCAACACACATAAAGAAGCCTTCTGATGATTTGAGCAAGCATCACAATCCACAAGGACATTCAAAATTGTAAACAACAGTAGCAGCCAAGTCAAAATAACTTATAACCAATGTCGCCAGAATGAACATAAACTACCAACGTAAAACAAAAGCACGAAAGAAAAAAGATAATAGATGATTGTATCTCTCCAAATGTCTCACTACTGTTCAATCAACTCTACCTCACAGTTACAATATCATCAATCTTCAAAATCATCCGCACACACTCAGTTGCCAAGGTGATCGCACTCGTGCTCACCAGCAGTGGCTGCACCACATTCTCCTCCAAGATGTTCGTAATCTGACCCTTCCTCACATTGATTCCAGCATTTATCTCACCCTGCGCATGACGATTCCTCAGCTCAGTAACAATGGCAATGGGGTTCAAACCAGCATTCTCCGCCAAAGTATAAGGAATAACTTCAAGTGCCTCAGCAAATGCCCTCACACAGTAACCCTCCATCCCATGCAACACCTTAGCCCAGGCACCCAGCTGCCTGGAAAGCTCAATCTCCGGGGCCCCACCACCGGCAATGAGAAACCTCTTGGCAACCAAACACCTAACAACACACAAAGCATCATGCAGACTCCGCTCCGCCTCATCGAGCACAAGCTGATTCGAGCCACGAACAAGCACAGTTGTGGTCTTCCCCATGTCCTTGATCCCAGTAATCTTCACAACCTTACCAATATATATATATATATTATTTAGTTTATCATCTCACTATGGTAGATTACAATACACTGTAATTTCATTGACCCAACCCCGTGCAATCTCTTATTCCCTGATTCTCTTCATATTAAAATGTAAATGTTAAATATTCGAGCTTCGTTTTATTTCTTTGTAGGTGAAATACTGTTTGAAAGACAACAAACACTTTATCCATTTATCTATTTTTCTAAACAGCTACTAATTTCACAAAGAGGAGGATGAAGGACGCGATGAGGGGAGGAGTCATAGAGGGAGAGGGAGGGAAAAAATCTAATACAAGTGGTGTATGTTGTTATCTAAATACTAGATAGATCTAACGGTTGGATTACATACATAAATGGTTCACCGTAGACACCGTCCTATAACGTAACGTTCCAGTAAGAAGTATCAGCACAACCACTGATATATAATAGTTATTAACTGCATTTCGTGTAAAGTCAGGTGATTTCCCTATCATTCTATCTAAACATCGTCGTTAGAGGCAAAGCTGGCCGAAGACTTTCAAGTTTGAGGTCTTGTGCATTCACGAGAAGAGAAGCCAATTTTCAGTAGTTACAACTTACAAGACCAACTTCGGTAGGCGGTACTTGGTACCAATCGGCCATATGCTTTACATTATACACTGACATGCATACCTAAATTTAGATTTATATATTAAATAAAATATTTGCTGCAAGATCAACCGCAAATGTAAAGTTTACGAATATTGGAAGCCACTAGAGAGAAAATAATCATTTTTTTAATAGTAAGCTCTAAATAGATTTGTACTATTCCATTCCAAAGCAAACACGTCCAGATTCCATCACATTCACATCATAAGAGAATTAGAAGTTTAATTTTTTCCGTCACAAAATTCGTCACAAATATTAATTTTTTTCTAGTAGTGAATCTTAATATCGCTGACAATCTTGTGAATTTTGTGCAATTTGGATATAACGTCTTCTCTGAATCTCTGCATAAAGTTTCATACATATGTGCTCTCTTGAATGATTCTAGACCAACATCACGAATCATCTCCTCAAGTCGATCATCCATATCTACTTCTTGTGTAAAATTTTGAGTTTGAGTTTCAGCTGACACATTTGGAATGTCAATATTTTTACCATGCCATATCCAACGTGTATAATTCTTAAGAAACCCATCACATAGAAGATGTTCCCTTATAACATCGAGTTCTAAACGAATCTCATTACAACAATTAACACAAGGACAAAAAAACTTTCCATTCATATCATCATTACCATTCCGTATTACATATTCAATAAAATATTCCACTCTAGTCTCATATTGCTCACTTACGCGTGGCGCTCGTATCCAACTTCGATCCAATAACCAACTTTGATCCATAAGTTATGTTCTCTATCAAAAAGATAGACCATGGATGTCAATCTCACAATTTTATACAAGGTGTGACCCTATCCCATTCAAGATTTTATTTTATACTTGATCAATATGTACTAGTACAATCCATTTTCTTAAACTTGACCAAATTTTGACAGCATTTCATATTGGTCTCTAAGTACATGAAATGAAAGTGGTGACATCAAATTATATACACCACAATCAAATATGCCCTCAACGAACAACACAACATGCAATACACCAAAATTTAATCAAATTTAAGATGAGACCTAACTTGTACGTATCAAACAAGTATAAAGAAAATTACTCATCCCAAACTGTCCAACAAGACAATTCAAGATTAAATATAAATGATTAAATAAATTTAATCATTTGCATTGAATCTCAAACGAGAAACTAAGATTCACTTAATGTGTGCATAAACTAAATATATAATAGACAAGAATTATAGAGAAAAAAAGTGCATGCGTTTCAAAGCTTCAAATAATAAATCAAGTATGTTTATAAAATGAAAAAAAATCTTAATTATGTTAAACTCACCATTTTTTCTAAGCACACGCTACACCTCCACAAAATTTAATTTTAGAACATATGGATGTCAATCTTTATAGCTTGATTATCAAATTAAACTTTTTTTTTTTATTTACTTAACGTGAAACTTCAAAATCTAAGGTTTATGACGGTTTGCATCAACCAACAATTACTAAAAATTAAATTAGATTTTGTATTGTCACAAATAATCTTTGTTACACTAGAAAAATATTCACTGACAAAATATTACTCTCATAATATTGTTAATTGTTCATGCAACACTTAAGAAGTCATTTATAAAATTTAAAAGTTCCTTACACCCTATTTGTTAGCATAAAGATAGTTAAGAAATTGAGAGAAGAATGTAAAAGTAGAGAGAAGATAAAAAAACGGATTTCTTTGGCATAATTGAACCGTACTTAATTTCCAAAATCAACCCTTCTCATTTATAGTAATAAGTTTCATGTTGATAATCAATTGTGTTGCAAGGTTATATGGGATAATCAGTTTTATATTTGATAATCAGTTTTGTTGTGTGGTTTCTATTTGATAATCAATTGTTTTTATTTTGTGTGGGTTAAACATTTTATACAAGAATAACATAATATTTTTATTTATAATCTTTTTTTTTTCATTCTATTTAAACTAAATGACTTGTAACATTATTTCATTGCAATTTTTTATCAAATCAAATAAACTAAAAAACTGCCATATTTTTTTTATAATTTTTTATTCTATTTCTCTTCTTTTTTTTTTAGTAAATTTTTGAATTATATTATTAGTGTAGAGTATTTATTAATTTAATTAAAAATTAAAATAAATTTGATTGATTATTTTTAATTAAATCTATCATTTCAATCACCTTTTCACTATCTACTAATTTTAAACTCAAAACATTAATTAAGAACGTCAAATTCAGTCGGATAATCACTTAATGGATTTCTTTGTGAGAGTGTTAGTTGTGATTCATCCTCCCTAAGGAACTACTAAACCTTGAAATTCCATGCACCACTGCTGATGTCAAGTTTATAATAATAATAAAAGGCAAGCGAGGCTTTTATGGCAGAGAATACAAAAAGGTAAAGGAATAATTAAAATATCCTAAAAAGAACATATGGGCAAGCAAACTTACATGCTTAGTAGTTTTGTTGTTTCCTTGGATTCTAGAACTTGTTCCTGTAGTTTTTTTCGCTTTTGAACTGATTATTAAGGCTCACTGCTCACCCATACTCTCTAACTTAGGTGGTGAAAATCCTCCAATTGATAAATAAAGAACCTTCATTTTCTTTAAAATGGACAACAATAGAGAGGGCCTAGCAATTAAAGACCTTCAATGAATCTGAAAAAGTTATGGCAGGTTTTCTGGTATTATGAAATCTTCGCCCAAAAGGAAATCGATGCATTCAATTCACCTCAAGATACTCGAGTTAACCAAGTAAACCATGAAAAAAACCAACTTATTCAAAACCTGGAATTTAATTGAGTAATATTTCTTATGGACTAACACCTTGCATTTGTAGACAAACATTAGTGTTTAACAACTTTAGCCTTTTATATATATGTGTGAGTCAATTGAATTAACCTTTGCGTCTCGAACTTGGAAGAAGCAGTGGACGAGACTGGAAGAAGATGCCCTCGCAAGAGTCGCGGAAGCACTCGCAGCAGCAGAAGAAGCCCTAGAAGCACCAAAGGCAGGCACACACGGCGATCGGTGCCCACGATTGTCACCGTCGAGAATAGTGGCGCCGAAGACGTGGTGAACAAAAAGGAATCCGGTGGCTTCAACCCTCCTGCATCCCAGAAAACAAAATCGAATCCATAAACGAAAATGAAAACTAAAACCCTCCTCCTAATGTGGCAAACAACAACATACCTTATGGAAGATGACGAACTCGCGATGAATAGCTACAAGGAAGATGAATAGCTACAACGAAGACAAAGAACGGATTTGTTCAAGAGATAAACTGTGCGAGAATATGAGGGGAAAATTTGAGTAGGGTATTTAAAATCGGTTTATTGAGAACCGATTTTGTATGATGCAAACAAAATCAGTTCCAAAAGAAACCGATCTTGTAAAGACTATACAAAATCAATTCTTTGCGAACCGATTTTAAAAGACAACGAGAATACACTTTTTAAAATCGGTTAAAATTTAATCGATTTTAAAAGGTCTTTTAAAATCGGTTAAATTTTAACTGATCTTAAAAATGGTAGCATTATTTACAAAAATGTCACCGCGTCTTTTTTAAAATCGATCCCCTGTTAACCGATTTTAAAATCCTATTCTTAAAAGTATTTTTTGCACTAGTGCACAGTCGTCGCTAGGCATGCCATGTAAGACAAAAACATGGGCTACCTATTGGGAAAAATTCAAGTCCCGCCAATCCTATATCATTAAAAATGGTCACTCACCATTTATCCACGTGTCAAGTCTAATAGTGCTGGACGTGAGGGGCTGTATTGAGAAAAATCTAGTAAAAAACAACCCTCAACTTACAAACCAGTTTTGTAAGGTTGAGTTAGGCTTAAATCTACTATTCTAAGACTACTTCATCCCATTTAAGACATGTTTTTTAATGTATTTCTTTATAAATATTTTGAGAGATAAAAATTAAGATTTTTTTTTATTAAGTCTAAATTGTATTTCAATGTGATAAACTTTATGAAAATTAGTTTAATCATATATTGATTTTTATTTCAAACCACTAAGATCTGTTTAATTATGAAACTTTTAGAATAATATACATATATATAGTCTTAAGTCTTAAATTTGAACTGAAGTATATGATTATCATTGTAATTGTTTTTGGAGTTGAGTGTTGATGGAGAAGTTAATTTACGAATGTTTCTTTGGTAATATGAAATCATGTCGTCCGCTACGTGGATTTAGCATTTTAATCTAACGGAAAGTTTTGATATTTGACTGTCAAGCAACAACTGATTGAATCAGTTCTATTGAAGAGTTCCTACATGTACGTTTGGTTTTCCATTGATTTTTTTTTTTTAGACACGTGTTACAACAAAAGCTACAACTAATAGCTTTTATATTAATTCCACTTATTTGACGTAGAATTAAACA